GATGGCCAACAAGCACATGAAGAAATGTTCAAAATCCCTAGCTCTAAGAGAGATGCAAATCAAAACAACTATGAGATATCATCTCACCCCAATATGACTTCATCTTACTGACACCCCTCTCGGCTTACTCTGTCTTTCTAGCCAGGCCTTTGTAGCAATCCTCATTCCTGCTTGCTTGCTAAGTGTCAGAAACACAGTCTTTCTCTAGAAACTACAACCCATCATCAAACAAAGAAAGTTTAATATGCATGCTGATGCCCACCCTCATTTTGATTTTCTGGATAAATGGAATAGCTTCATGGTTAAGAGTTTGGATCATGAAGCAAGAAAATATCTATTATTGTTTCCGCATTTCGCCCACCTCTTTTAACCTTTATTTTATCTATTATCAATCACTTTAGCTCTGTACCTACAAAACCTCCCTTTAGATTTCTTTTTCACCAGAATCCTACCTATAGTTACATGTTCTCAATGTTGCTCAACATTTCCCTTGGGTCTGTATTTGCTTTTCATTTAGAGGATGTATCACTTAAATGGAGTTTGGCCTTTTATATCATCATGACTCCTACTTAACTTGACTCATTCTATCCAATATTATCCTACTATGATCTTGCTGACTACTTAACTTAGGTTAATGATTAGTATTTTCAATACAGTGCCTTTTCTCCATTTATTTTTTAAACCTGAAGTTGTAATTGTCAAACACAGATACCTTTATACACAGGAGAAAATGTTAAAATGTTAGCATGGTGTGGATATATTTTTGGCTGTCACAACTGAGGGAGTTGTTACTGGAATCTATTATGAAGAGGCCGGACATGAAAACTACTTTTTTTTTTTTTGTGCTACAAGAATGATTTAATTCCAGAAAATATATGGCTTAAGATTTTACAACACTGTGGTGGCTTAGCTCTAAAAAGTTTATAAACAAACTACTTTTTGTTTGTTTTTTATTTTTTCATTCACATTGTGTTTCATATGATCATTACCATAAAACTAATCACCATTGATCGATGCTCACTATTACTTGATCTTTTCAGATACCCACTAAATCTTTCCTAATTCCTTCATCCCCTCCCTTCACCCATCAAATTGTGTGACCTTGTGATTTTACCTCCCCACCTTCAGTCGCCCTGACTTCTCTTTTACCAGCTTTGGATATTTATATATATCTTACTAGTTATCCTGCTTTTACAATAATGATCTTATGCGGTATTTGTCCTTATAAGCATCAGTTAGTTCACTCTTTTAAAATATCCCAGGCCATGGTTGATAAACATTACTCTAAATGGTGGGTTCCCCCCACCGCTTCTGTTTTCTAAATTCTTGTACCGATTTAAAAAAATTCCCCATCTTTCCAAAGTAACAATGAAGGAATTACACAAAATAAAAAACTCTGATTTGGTCTTCTTACGAAGAGAGTCTGTGGGTGAGCATTAACATTACGGGTAAGTATATTCATTTTCTCCTGGACGCAGAGCCTACTAATTGGTCCTAAAAGCCTTCTGAGGTCCCAAATCTTCTCACTATTTCTTAGTTGTTGGAATGGACGGAAAACCTCATAAGCAGTTCCTTACTT